TTTTTTTTTTTTTTACAACAAAAGTATATAAACCTTTGTAAAAATTGGAAATCCAACCCACACACTCTATATACACTAAAAATCCCCAAAACACTGCTGATTTGAGTCATCGAGCAAAAATTATAAAGAAAAGTAAACCAGAGCACTCCAGTCCATCAATTAACATCACGTGAAAAGCTGCGTTTTTGTAATAAACCAGCATTAAGGCATTTTAAATGCCTCTAAGCTTTCTTATTCGTTTTGCTAATAAACGTTCTACGTTTCTTATTTATTTGGTTATATATTATACATGTTTACTCATTTCCAGTTTTGTATACCTATTTAAACTTTATGCATGTATGTAACTTCAAACCATTGTTTCCGGCTAAATACGAGTCCATAATAAGGCTTCCTCCAATGAAAAAGTCATCAGAGCTGAATCAGGAGAGAAATCTGCACAGAGACCTCTTTTGTTGGTTTGACTGCTTCTATTGTCCTCATTTGTAAGTCGCTTTGGATAAAACCGTTTGCTAAATGATTAAATGTAAATGTTTACAAGCCAAAACAGCTCTAAACAAATATGTGGCTGGATTTTGATGCGAGAGACAACAGCAGATGCACTTTTACACTGAAGGAAGCGTTATAATGGATTATGGACTCATATTTTAATTAAAAACGACTTGATGCTGGATTTGTTTCAGGTTTTGTCTTCTCCAGATGTTAACTGATGCACTGGAGTGCTGTGGATTATTGTGGATTATTTTGATGTTTTTATCAGCTCTGCACCCATTCACTGCAGTGTTTAAACGCTGCTTGATCTGTGCAGATTTCTCTCCTGATTCAGACCAGAACACTTTTTCACTGGAGGAAGAGTTATTATGGATTATGGACTCATATTTTAGTTAAAAACGACTTGATGCTGGATTTGTTTCAGGTTTTGTCTTCTCCAGATGTTAACTGATGCACTGGAGTGCTGTGGATTATTGTGATGTTTTTATCAGCTCTCGTTCTGACGGCACCCATTCACTGCAGAGCATCCATTGCTGAGACACTGATGCAATGCTACATTTCTACAAATCTGACTGATGAAGAAACTCATCCTAATCTTGGATGACCTGAGGGTAAATGCATTTTCAGCAAATGTTCATTTTTGGGTGAACTATTTCTTTAACCTAATATAATATATCTGAAAAACACATATCGGTCGACCCCTAATCTCAAATCAATAATCTGTCCTAATTCTGGCACAGTTTAAAGACACTGGTTGGAATGCATTGTTAAAAGTCGCTCAGATACGACAACAAACGGCACATTCTGTTCGTGAAGAGCCTCCCGTCCATTCCTGCGAGATGGAGATTGAGAACGCCGTCTCTAGTAGGTCAGATACGCAGTAGTGGGTTTGGGTGTGATTCAGCTGTCATGGGATCAGATCTCATATGACAGAACCTCGCTTTGCCATTACTTAAATTCCAGGGTTGATATTTTTCAAGCCGTGTTGACGTTCCAGAACACAGACAGCATAAAGGACAGCAGCTGTGCTTCAGAACCTAGTATAGTAGACATGAGCTCCCCAACTAGACAGCACTTTTGGGCATCAAGTGGCTGTCTTCCTAGACAGCACACACTTGCATCATTGAACAAAAACACTAATAATCACAGATTTGATCAAACAGCAACCTAAAGATTACAATGAGGGCAAATTATACCTATTAGTTAAGCACTGTTAACAAACTAGACAATCAACCAAACTAGTTTCAATTAGAGCTGTCATTTACTAACTAGCAGTTAGCAAGTAAACCAACACTAATCAGTTGGTTAAATGAGCCTAAAGTAAAGAAAAGTGTTATTTTGATGTCTAGTTTAGGTTTATTTTCAACTAAATCACATTGTTGTTGTTTTTATTCTGTAATTGACGCCAAAACACAGAGGCTAACAACATTAGCATGCCAAGTTAAACTGACATTCGCTCACAAACACGTATAAAGCGCATTTCTGACAGGTTTAAATCGTTATAAACGCGAATAGTGAGGCGAATTCTAATGAGTTCGTATTCAGGCCCTGCCGCAGCTCAGTCCCCGGGCTTTCCCGACAGCCGCGCCCGTCCAAGAGCGCTGGCAGCCGGATGCGGGCCCGCGGAGAGGCCGGTAGACGTGGAATGTCAACATGACAGATGAAACGCACGCGCTCCCTTCGGTTACGTATAAAAGTTGCGTTTTGTCGCAAAGAGAGTAAAAGAAGATGTGGAAGCACAAAAACGTACCTTTTTCTTGGCTGCAGCGAGTTTGATTTGCCTGTTC